GAAGAAGGAGAGGTTTTGGAGCAGGCTGAGCAAGCACCGCTGAGTAACGCTCCTCTTGTGTCCTCTCTCGACAGGGTGGTACTGGGGCAACATGAGCGTTGCCGAAGCCGCTGAAGCCAAGGAGAGGCTGCAGGATGCCCCCGAAGGGACTTTCTTGGTTAGGAATAGCTCGCACTCGGAGTATTTGCTGACTATTTCGGTGAAAACGTCCGCGGGACCCACCAATCTCCGCATAGAGTGTCAGGATGGCAAGTTCAGGCTGGACTCGATCACTTGTGTCAGATCTCGGCTGAAGCAGTTCAACAGCGTCGTGCACTTGATCGAGTACTATGTGCTTATGTGCAAGGAGAGGACCGAAACGCCCTCGAACGGCACCGTCCATCTGTACTTGAACAAACCCCTCTACACGTCAGCTCCATCTCTGCAGCATCGCTGCAGAGTCACTATAAACAGATGCACAAACCAGATCTGGGAACTGCCGTTACCGACGCGACTAAAAGAGTACTTGAAAGAGTATCAGTACCAGGTATAGCTGTCTTGCCTAAATGCCTCTAGCGTAGAGTACCTGTTGAATGCAATTCCTAAAATCAGCCAAAGAACGGAGTGGCCAGTTGTACAACTCGTTGCGGAATTCACTATCAAAACAGTGGCAGTTCTGGGGGAAAGGCTTTTGTTTCAGATGCCACAAAGGAAGAAGACTCTGTGCAGTGCAATCCCGGCTTCAGCGCTCGGCAAGGTGGCTGGAGTCTGTCTGGATCGTGCTGCTCTTGTCAGTGGCATAAAATACTGCTCTAACTATGAAGCGCTGGCTGGAGTGGTGGGAGGGGGAGAGGCTGCAAAAGTGCTCGAAGATCATGTCAGAGTGCGTAAGTATCTCAGTTGTCTGATTCGGAAATTAATTTGGTGCTGGTGTTCATATAATCCTGAAAACTTCACTGGATCACACTGTGATAATCTTGCCAAAGTTATGCAACCAATCGAATCCAGTCCAAAAAGCGATCATCTATTCAGTTTTTATTGAACTGTAACCCTCGTGCTTTTCTGCGAGCAACGGAGTACTGTAAGTAATCAGTTTAAAACGTTGTTTTTCAAAGTTCTCTCAAAATTGGTTTTAAGGCAAAAGCCCACACCTTTCGTAGGAACCCAGTGCATGTTGCTGATTATACCAGATTGGTATCCCAGAATCTTTGTTAACATGTTAACATCTTCCTGGTGGTGATATATCCATGTTGTTACTACTAAGCCTCTTTTGGTTGAGGCTTTTGGAGCGTGTGCTGCAGGCTTGCTCAGTTCCAACGTCAGGGCATGGATATCAGCAGTTACAGCTGTCTTCTACAGTGTAGAAAGTTTTTCTTCCTCTTGTTTCCCAAAATATGGGGAGGTCTGGATTTGGGTGTTTTTCTTTTTTTTTTTTTTTTCTTTTTCAGAGGTTGTGTTTTTTTGTTTTGTTTTTTCCTAATTAACCATTGTAGCTATCAGACTATTACTCAATAAAGTAAACCAAAATGCACAAATATCTCAATCTTTGTACGTATGGGTTTGCTGCTGTTGAGGAAACAGAGATGCCGTGAATTCCTGTCCTTTCCCGATGAACGAACTCCCACGCGAGCCGCAGGCTCCCTGGGCTTGGCCTTTGCAGCTCCGTGCAAGGTGTCGCAGGGCTGTGTTCACCTGAGTGCTCCAGGGGCTGGCTGCTGCTTTCCCCCATCGCTGGGGGTTAGCAGGGAACATCGTGGTTTTTGTATCACAGAAGTCCTCTGAGAGGAAGGATGGGACTAAGGCCCTCACATACCCACTCCTCAGTCTAAATTAGAAGTATTTATTAGTAGAAAAATCCAGGATAGGAGTAACATGAGTAGTAAAGAGAGAAAGTAGGGCATAGATTCATTCTCAGTCAACAATTTCATAGTTTTAACTCTTTTTTTTTTACTTTAATTAAAGCGAATAGACCCGTGTTTGAACAAGGAGGGTTGTCAAGACTTGCTGTGATCTAGCCCTGCCCAGGCTGAAGTAGAAACAACATAAAACAGTCTCGTTTTCCTCAGCTGCTCCGCACGGCTGCCGGGGTGCCGCGCCGCCCCTCGCCGGCTCCCAGGAGCCGAGCAGCCTGGATTCTCCCATCCAGGCTCCTGGCATGTGGACTCGGTTCTGCCCCGAAGACGCTGGCAGGCGGGAGCGGCTCTGCTGCCGAGGCCGGCAAAGCAGCAAGAGCTCGAGGCAGAGGGGACAGTCCCTGGATATGGCAAAGAGCTGGGACGCTGCCGTCCCCGCTGTGGGAAAGGGGGCTTTGCCCCCTCCTCCTCCAACACCTTCAGTTTTCTTTCCCCCCCTTTTAATGCAAGCTGCAGTATCGAGATGGGTTGGGGCAGGGGGGAGCTTTCTCCTGAAAAAACGAACAAAAGCCTTTGTTATGTAAAACTTCTCCCCGTGCCCTGCCAAATGTAGCAGACTGTTGGAAGTTTTTCCCATGCTGTGGCGAGCACCCTCTGATTCCCGTCCCAGAAGAGCTCTTATATTCCAGGTATGTGTCATAACCACATGACTTCCCTGTGCTTGTCGTCTGTCTTGCGAGGAACTTCCACCCAGGAGCCGAGCAGCTTTCCCAGTGAGCGGGGCCAGGGAGAGGACTATGTTCCTGGGAACACGTCTGCTGTCGTGGATCTCTTTCCTTACAGTTTCTGTCTGGCTCTACCCGAGAGGAGAGGACTACGACAGAGAACAACTCTGGTTGCAATAAGTGAGCCCATTAACCCACTGCTATGTTGTCCTTTCATTTCTGGGTTTTTTTTGGCAACGACTGTCACCGTTGCTGCGCTGATACCCAACTCACGAGCCGTGATATCCGCGCGGTGTCCCAGCGGTGAACACGATACACTGGAAAGTTCCCTTGAGGCAACCCCCTGGCCACAGGATGCTCGAATGGGGAATCCTAACGGGACAAGCGCCCTGCGAGGAGGAGCGCCCTGCCTTGGGTGCAGCAGGACACTCGTGTCCTGCGTCCAGGAGCTGCGGGATGCTCCTTGCTGGCTGCTTGTGCATCCCCCTCCCGGGAGAGCCGCGGTCCGGACAGTGGCGTGGGGCAGATAAAGGGTGGCTCCATGGGGGTTTTCCCAGATTTTTATTGCTTTTTGGAGCACAGAGAGACAAAAGGCGAGGGTGGTGTGAAAGGGGCAATTCACATAATTGATGGGGAGCGGCTGCTGCCACATGGAATCGCGGAGCGCCGGGCTCCCCGGCTTGTCCTTGGTGCCGGTCACGGCGGAGGAGCGTGCAGGGTCTGCAGCCAGGATGTGCTTGGAGCAGCGAACAATATTTTGAACAGACTGGAGGGGGAACTAGTCCTCTTTGTATGAAAGCGCAGCTCTTGTCTCCGTTAGGGTGCCAGCCCTTGGGTGGAAGCATCAGCTAGTGAAGCTAACGCTGGCTGCCGCGTGCTGCAAGCTCCGCTTCCCTCGCGTGCGGCGCACGGGAATGAGCCGCTCCGCAATAAAACCCTGCGATAGCACGAGGGTTAGGTTACAGCAGCGCACGCGTCCTGCGTCTGGAGCCTGTGAATTTTAGGGCATGATCACATTGCCCAAGCATTTCAAAAAATGACCCGGTGCTTTTTCTGCCTTGTGGATGTTGCTGTGGCTTGTCCAAAGCCCTTGCCCTGATATCACTGGCCCTTCAGATTCCCCAAGTGACTTCTTGGGGCACAGGCTGTTCAGAGAGGCTGGTTTCAGGCATGCAACAACCGGGAGCCAAGGCACCCAAAATCATGATAAGGGCTTTGACCATGAGGCTTTTCTTTTCTTTTTTTTTTTTTTTTCCACTGAGTGTTGTTTGTTCTTTTCATTTTTGAGACCTGAGGATTCAAGTTTTCCAGTTTATCTCTAGAAGGTTAGAGGCTGCAAATTTAATAATCATTTTAATTAAAGGAAAACTGAGAACCCCACAGTGATGCTTGGTGATCAGGTGATGCCTGGAAAAAGCAAACAATCTCCCCCATGCCCAGAAGAGAAGACTTGCAAGGTGGATGGTAAAATGGAGCTGGTGACTTTACAAAGTTGAGCAATAACCTCGCAGAGGTGTGAACTGTGGTTCCATTTTAGCTGTCTGAATATTTCCTTGCTGCTGATATTGTCACCAGAGAAAATGGTTCGACTACAGCATGGGTGGGTAGAGTGGGAATGTAACCAGGCAGCTGCGCCCATTGCATTAGAAGTAATTTTATTTTAATCTTATCTCGTCAGCATTGTCCTAATTATATTTTATGTAACCACATTTTATATAAACAATCTTTAATTATTACTGAGAAAGAAAATGGTTCAGTAGGTGATAGAGCTTTTTTGGTTTGTTTGTTTTCTTGCTTAGTTTTAAACTGTAAAATGATCTACAACTTACTCCTCACCAAGGACTGTGGAGTGTGAGACTCTCAGAGTCCTAGTAAGTCCCATATCTTAAGAAAACCAAACCTGGCCCTATATACACCGTAAAGGACTGTGTTCTATAGTTCTATAGTTGCATGAATTCCTATATCTTACCCACTTCTTTCCTGTCTCAGGAAAGATTTATTTACTTAGATGGTCTTTTAAAAGTTTTTTTTTTTTTTTTTTTCCCCAGTATTCCTGGTAAATTTCCTGATTTTTGTCCTTTCTATATATGCTGAGGTGCTAGCAGAAAGTAAGTTGAATTGTGTCACTACTTTGTTCCCGTTAAGCCAAAACAGGTACGATGGAAATGGGAAGAGACAGTTTTAGGTGTGGAAGTTGTGTCTAACAGTCATTTAAAATTAAAAAAAAAAAAAAAAAAGAGCCCACTGTGGACTTTGCTCTCATTAAAGTAAATCTAAGTATCATCTTGACTACCAAAGAAAATCATGCCTTGAAGGATTCTTAAATTTATATTACTCATTCTTAGGAATTGTAAGAAACCTTTCTGTGGGAGTTTTTTTTTTTTTTCCCTTTTTGAAAAACAGCAGAACTGAAGGGAACTCGTAGTACGAGTGAAGACCTTCTCGGCTTCCCAACAATAACTGGAAGCCGCTTACAAGAAGTGAGCGAGTTGGTCCCGAAGCCGAAGCCCGGTGGGGCTGCCAAGCGGTTTTAGGCTCTCGGGGCAACTTCTGTGTTAGCGGCCACCCCGGCCGCTCCGAGCATTTTGCTCAGCCAGTCGCAGGACTGGAAGTGCCTGGAAACCCCATTCCGCCGACACATTACCTCAAGTCACCAAGGCGTGAGTCTGTTTTACCACAGCGTGGCCGTTTGCCACGATATTGCTCAAACGGGGCAATTTCCTCTCTGCGCCGGAGGTGAGTGGAGGAAGCTGGAAGCCGAGGTCTCTGTTCGCAGGTGCCGTGAGGGCCGTGCGTGCCGAGCGCTGCAGGCCGCGATGTGGTTTATCGGCCGGGGGCTTCATGCCGGCGAGGGGCAGCCTCGCAGCGGGGGCCGGGGCAGCTAGGAGGGAATTACCCCCTTGCTCGCGGGGTCCGTGCAGGGGCTGCCTTTATTTTCACAGCACCGGCAGGGGAAGGACATGCAGGAAAAGCTGCCAGGAGAGAGGGCGTTTCTCGTGAGATGCGCCCTGAGATGGGCAGCTAAGCATCGCGCCCAGGAAAAGCCCGGCTAAGCAGATGTTCATGTGGTGACAGGAATATTAATAGACTTGCAAAATCATGGGGGAGTTATCTCGTATCAACGCCCCTTTC